GTGTAAGAAATTAAAATCTAACTACAAAATAAATTGCAAAATCTAAACTATAAAATAAAATTATAGGAATTAAATGCAAGAAAATAAATCTACTCTATAAGCATGAAATAAATCTAAGGCAAGAGGGTTCTAGCCTCTTGGCTATTTAACAAGAAAATAAAATCTAAACTACAAGCTTAGAAACAAATCTACACTAATAAGCAATAAAAAGAAAATAAAAGAGAAATGCAAACCTTCAAATAATTCTTCATCTTCATCTTCATCTTCATCTTCATCATCCAACAAAGAGAAGAAGAGAAAAATTTAAAGTGGTGAAAAAATTATTATTATTAATTGTAATAAAAAGTTATAATTTTAGAAGGCCTTCTCAATTAAGAGTAGCCCTCCTCTCCAAAAGGAGTTACAAAAATTTTAACACCTTAACCCCTCACTCTCTACCCCTATTTATAGTAATCTTTAATGGATATGAGCCATTGGATTTGTCTTGAGCCCCAAGTAACAATCTCTACCTTTGAATTTGTTAGTGAAGAGTTTGTTTTTTGTTCTTCTCTAGCCCATATGATTTGAATTTCGAATTTAATTTTCTGCAGCCCATTAATTGATCAAGTTTGGCCCATTCATTTATTTCCAAGTTGTCCAAGTCTTTGAGAAAAAAAATCAGCAGCAAAGCCTCCATCATGTCCGGTCCAATGTACATCTCCATTTGATTTGTGAAAACAACAATCTGCAGCACAAAGTCCCTTAGCAAATTCGGCCCAATATGATTTTCCTGTGAAAATCCAAAGCTGCAGCACCCAATGAAACCGGCCCTTGATTCATTAAAAAAAAAACAATTCTCCAGCCCATTAAAGCAACCAAGCAAATCCGGTCTTCATTTATGTGATTCAAAAGAAAAAAAAATGAAATTCAATGTTGCTGCAGGTCCAGCAGTCCGGCCCCTACATTCTTCATTTGATTTTCAATTCAAAAAATCCAAAGTTTGTAGCAAGTTCAGCCCATTGTCCGGCCCATAGCAAATCTTTAGCATCCAAGTAAAAAACCAACTAAGAAAAACGCTGATGAAAAAAAAAACCAAATCTTCAATCATAAAACCGGCCCATTCCAAAACCAAAGTCCCTAGCACATTGACTTGCAACCAAAGTCCATGAAGCTTCATTTCATAAAACCGGCCCACTCCAAAACCAAAGTCCATAGCACATTGACTTGTTTTTGTGGGCTTGTACATTGTAACATGATATCTTGGAGATCATTTTCTTCACTTGCTCTTTGGGCTTCAATCATAGGCTTCTAAAATGCTACAAAATAGAGAAGAGAGATTTTGAGGGGTTTTTATATTTAATAATATTTATTTATATTTATGTGCAAACTAAGCTAACAACAATTATTAATTGTATATTTATTCATGTAAAATAGAATATTTATGTGCAAACTAAGCTAACAACAATTATTAATTGTATATTTATTCATGTAAAATAGATAATGAAGGTATAAAATTATAATAAAATGTGATTATCATGGGTCACCCTCAGCTGACCCCACGCTCACGAAATGCCCAAGCAACCTTATACTGGGCTTGACCCCCATGATATGGCAAGCATCAATAATTGCCACCAAGACTCCCATTGCATGTGGGTGGAACTGAGAAGGGAAAACCCCCAGAGCGGCATGCACCTCTTTAATAAAAGGGTGCAGAGGCAGCCGCAACCCACACCTCAGATGTGCCACAAACAGAGGCACATGATCCTCGTCGTGGACATGCACTGGCGTAACGCATGTCGGCGCCCCCAGAGTCAGGGTGCGTGGAATATTGTATAGATCATACAATGTCGCCACTTCATCCATTATCACCCTCGAATGAAACATCTAAAGAGCGGCGAGCCTCTTCTTATGATCGTCAGAAGCAGAAGTTAGGAAATCCATGGGAGATTGCTAAAATAGAAGATGAAATTCTCAATGGCACAGAGTTTCTTGGGAGAAATTATCTCTGCCCCAAGAAAAGTTATTTATAGAGATCCTACAAAGATCAAAGAAGGATGCGAAGAGACGTTGCAGTCTTCGAAGCAACCAAATAAGATCCACCTCGGAATCCAAAACGGTTCGCTCGAAGAATGAAGCGTTGCAGTCTTCGAAGCAACCAAATAAGATCCACCTCGGAATCCAAAACGGTTCGCTCGAAGAATGAAGCGCCGCCCTCATTTATTACCCCACATAAGATCCACCTCGGAATCCAAAACGGTTCGCTCGAAGAATGAAGCGCCGCCCTCATTTATTACCCCACGTCCTAATGCCAAGGGAGCGAGACACCCTACACTATTCCTGACACTTCGATTCCTTAATCGACGGTTTAGATCCCCAAGAACACGAAACAATGAGCGTAGAATCACGTCAGAAGAAGGACGTTACCATGACATCAGCAATAACCCAGGCAACAGAGGCCCAACAAATCTCTTAAGTCAGAAACAGATTGACACATCTTTTTATTTCACTCGGACCCGACTGAAATTCGACTCCAAGCGAAAAGGGCCAGCTGTTATGGTGTCAATCGCTTAAGATACAGTCTTAGCAAAAAATCATGATAAGTGCCGACAGCCAGGTCCCTTCCAAGTTTAGCGGCCCAGGCCCAAGAGGCTGACTCCGCTGACTCGCCGAATTCTCGGCGACTCACGGGACGGGACCAGTCGAACAAAGACAAGCAAGGCTGACTCCACTGAGGAGCCTACCAGGAGCGACTCCGGGTCCGACACCTCCTTGCTCAAAGGATAAGATCAGACCGGAACCTCTTTAGATATGTATCAGCATGGTGATCCACGCTGATACGTCCCATATGAAGACACTTCAGCAACCCGCCTACAAACTCTCAGTAGTCACTTCCCGGAAATAGCGGAGGCCCGCCTCCTTACAATGGGAAAGACTTCACCTCCAACCATAGATCAACACTTGGTAGGCGGAGAAAGTCCAGCTCCTAGCCCCCTTCCCACCTGGGACACTGCCATCAAAATGGCCAAAATGATGAGGATATCCTCACCACCTTCATATATACAGGTATAACCCTAACTGTAGAAAGGGGTTAAAGAAGAAAAATTCCCCTAGTCTATAGAAGATACACAGGAGGGCACACTAGAACACCTAAGTTCTAAAGCTCCTAAAATTTCTCTTTTTAACCTCATGCAAGATGATCAACTGACTTGACCTTCGGAGGTACCACGGGGGAAATGGTCTCCGCCCTCTCACGGCTGTTCTTCTTGTCTATGCAGCGAGGAAGGAGTTTTCTAGATCAAAGAACCAGGCTCAGAGTCATGCAAATAGATGACCCCCTCTCACACCAACTCCCTCTGCTTCACCGCAGTGACGGCATGAGCGGAGCCGGTCCTCTTCTCTCGATCGACTGTTTGATTCACCAGCGAGCACCTCGCAGTGACGGCATGAGCGGAGCCGGTCCTCTTCTCTCGATCGACTGTTTGATTCACCAGCGAGCACCTTCTGCCCGACGCCCGCCGCGGGGCGGGCCGAACTCCTACAGCGGGATTCTTCATTCCTTCACCCCGAAGGGACGAACTAATCTGAGCATCAACTGATACTGTAGTAGGGAACTGTAGCGGCGTGGGAAACTGTTCATGCAGATCCGACAGTTGAGATTGATTTGTCTTTTGATCAAGGATTTAGAGTCAGATTTTGGTGATCCATGGGTTGTTCCCAGTGTTTTTTGACGTGTTGAGTTCATTTTTTACGTCGGTTTTATTAAATTCAATCTCTACAGTGACTAATTTGAATTATAATTACTGTTAGAGGATGATGACTTCTTCGGATCTGAAGTTTGATATTCCGCTATTCAATGACAAGATAGATCTGATGGCAGATAACGAGCATGAGTTGGTTTGTGTATAGATTCGAGGAGGACAGTACCAGATTTGGTGGAGCTTGCAAGCGGGCATGACCGAGTAACACATAGGAATATGGAGATGGCGGCATTGGACTTGAAGACGATGAGCGCTCATATTCAGTCCAAGGCAAGTGATGGAGATATAGAGGCACCCGGCTCATAGGGTGGAGTAGGAGAGGTGCACCAATATGATTTGAGACGACAGATACAGGTGGAGTACAATGACAGCAAGTGGGGAAATGCTACTGTCAAGATCAGTTCAGGAGGAGAACATGGTTGATTTGCTTCTAATGTTAGAGGTGGAGGATATCTTGGTGCGCACAAGAGAGGTGGAGGCGCCACGACGAAGCAGATGATAGTGAAGGTCACAGGACGTCCAAGTTGGAGTGCATGTGCTTCAATTTGAAGTGCAAAAGAAATAGAAGACTCTAGCGGGAGAGACAAAGTTTCAAGACTCATTTATATATATAAAAAGTCCCTTCATATCATACAAGGATCCCTAGATAACATGAGTGGATAGAAACTTTGATGGACCATCCACTTAAGTTAACATAAGTTTTTAGTGGATAGAAACTTTGGTGGACTATCCACTTAAGTTAACATAAGTTTTTAGTGGATAGAAACTTTGGTGGACGATAATTAACACTATGATGAGAGCAAACTTCTCCTGTACAGAGAGGAGGCTCCAAACCTCTAGGTTCTAATGAAAACAAATTTGGTTGAACCCTATTACGTTTGTAGGGAGATGGAAATGATTTATGTATACCATGATTAAGAGAGGAAAATTGTGAGGTCTGTTCATTATCGTACAGTTAGTAATCAGGGTTATATGCAAGTAATGAAAGCAAATATACTTTCATATCACACTTACCTAGGCATTTTGAAAGATGAAGAATCACGATGAAAATGAGGAATAGAAAAATAGATGACCCCGTATTTATTTAGGTAAGTAAAGTGTAAGAGGTCGAAGACACAACCACATATCATAATGAATGCTGTTAAAAAGATATTCAGGTTTCAACGTGGCTATTAAACAGTTCGCAGAAAAATGCAGATGGTCTATTGAAAGAGTATGATATACTTTTTAAGACCGATTGGCTAAAAAATATATGAGACAATCTACAACAAGGGCATATCAATAATGTTCTGCAGGCTCCTGCAGTTTGTAAAGAACCATTAAAAGCATATAAATAATCATCATTACTTGTGGAGTATGAATTAATATTTGCACAGAGAACAATTCCAAGTCACACCTAGAAATATCTGAAGACAACTAGTTAAAAGTTGCACCTTAAGATGAAATCACTAAATAAGTGTTATCCAACAGCAAATTAGATTACCTCAATCTGGGTCTGGATAAAAGCCTCGCGTGCTTTCAACATGGAAATTTTAGGGTCTGGATTGCCTATAGCAGGAGCTGGAGTAGCTGGCATATTTCAAGAATCAAGCTGTTAAACATAAGCCACATGTCTTTGCTTGATTTAAGGAAAGATACAGGAAGCTTGAGAAAGGACGATTTCATAAGTTTTAGGAGAGGGTTTTCCTCTATGCTGACGTTCAAAATTAGTAATCACCTAATAATTTTCACTTGATAGGGAACTAAATTTAAGACATGTCAAGACATTAGGAATATTCTCTTTTATGCATGATTATGCCCAAACAATAACAGTGATTTGTTAATTCAAAAAATCAACATCAAAATTCATTAGACTAGAAACTGGAACTTTCAGAACAAATTGACTTCTAAGCTTGCAATAAATTAACAATCAACGACATTCAACAGGTATGGTTATGACAATATTATGGCGACTACATATGGTTCAACAGACTTTGCAGATTTGACTTTGGCCCTTCTTTTTTGTTGCATTACACAGCTCTCTTGTAGCTTTGCTTCCCCCCGCCTTGGTGGCAGTAGCTATAGCAAGTCTCGCTTTAATAATTAATACTCTTTATCAATGTTTAAGTGTTGGAAGTAAAACATTTCTCTCCCCCCTTGATTCATGGTCAACTCTTGTAATTGTAAATGAAATTTACAACCAAATGATTCCAGCAATACAGTAGTTAGCAAAAAGAATAAACATAAGCTCCCATTACTATTAATCACTAAATAGAGTGTCTAAATGAAGACCATATTTCAGACATATAAGATCACAACTACAATGTAGAACTTGAATCTTAAGAAAATGTTTCAACAATGTTGCTTCCATGAAATAATACTGCAGTTTAACAAATGCATACAAAGAGGAATTATAAAAGAAATTTCAGAAACCAAAATCTGAAAAACTTACTGGCTTGCTGTCCAGATGCAGCTGATCCATTTTCAGGAGGAATAACTAAAGCTCTGCAAGTTGGGCAAATATTCTGTCGTTCTAACCATGATCGCAAACAATGCACATGAAAAAGGTGCCCACAATGCAACTTTTTGGCTGTTAACATCTCTTCACGGCAAATAATGCACGTTGCATCACTTCTGCAGTACAAAGTTTGCAATAATGCTCATGTTAGTCAAGGAAAAACACCAGGAGAGGGGGAAAAAGATTCTTACGCATTAATCTCCTCAGGTGTTGCACTCGGGAACCGTTCATCCACATTTGATGTAACCTTCCGGTAACGAATGTAATCCGCAATGCGGATTCTGAAGCTGCGAAATGTCTCATAGAGTTCTCGGATCAAGTGCAGCGGCAAACCATAGTGCCTGAATCAGAAACCAAAACCCCCATAATGTAATTTTAATATAACCTGGAACTATCAGACTAATGCTGATAGTACCTCAATTGGAAAAAAGAAAATAATGATATGATGAATAAATAGAACATACAACGGAAAATAGTTACCAAATTTCAGTAGAAGAGCAAGTTTTGTGAGATATTTATTTTAGCAGGAATTCAAAACCTTGCACAAGGTAATTAATCTCAGGAATTAAAAACCTTGCACAAGGTTATTAATATCACTATCAAAATTCAAGATGCACAGAGTATATACCTAAGGCTTTTTCTTTTCTTTCTCCTTCTGTCTTGTGAATTCCATGTCATACTAATTGCACTGAACACAGGAATTCAAAGATCTGATGTAGTTATCCGTTCATGGAAGACCAGCCTGACTGGCGTAACCCCAAAATAGATTTATCTAACATTTTATATAGCCAACCACTCTAGTAGCCGCTAGAACTGTTCAAGGTTTATTGTAGGTAACAATGCCAGTAAACAGTTTCATCAGTTACAGCAGCTTCATGTAGCTGACTTGTTTGAACCCCCCAACCCCCAACCCCAACACGCACGCACACGCACAACAAAAAAAGAAAAGAAAAATAGGAAGACAAACACACAACATCCTTCCCCCAAGTAAAACATAATACTCTAAAACATAAAGGTCATCTATGCGTCGAATGTGGTAGAAAGCAAATGCTAATCATTTTCAGGATGATGAACCCCACTTGTGGGTAAAGCATGAAAGTCAAATCAGTCTATGTTGCAGCTACTCAACTGACATCTATCACGACCATTCTTATGTATACACTGAAAGGTATGCATGTTTGTGCTTATCAAATCGTCAAGGTAAGTTTTTGGTCATTAACATTAAAAATAAAACACAGTACATAGGCACATGATCATGCACTTAGACATGTAGACAAGCATGCATTGTTGAGTTGAGATGAGTGATGGACACTAAGAAATATATTGCTATTATTTCTTTAGTAGTACAAACACACTAAACTCTCAAATACAAATACTCTCTTTCTCTCTATCTTCTCTTTCTTTCTCTGCTACTGGAATCTCACTACACTACTCTTTATTTATCTCTCCCTGGATCCTCAAGCTCTCACTCTTCTTTTTTTATTGTTTCACTTGCTTGGGATGGTTTTTAACTCACAACTTAGGGGGTATTTATAGTGTTACATTGGGGGTAGATGGGGTTGTTGGTCACTGTTATTTTGGTGGCTGATGGGATTAGTAGGTGGGAGAAAAACGTTCTGCTGACTTCAACACTCCCCCTCAGCAGAGACTTTTCTATCCATGAGTCCAAGCTGACTTCGAAATTCTGAAAACTTTGAAGTACTTAGTGCTTTGGTGAATATGTCAGCTATTTGTTCATTTGTCCCGATTGGCTTCATAACAATCTCCTCCTGAAGAACTTTCTCTCGAAGAAAGTGATGATGTACTTCTATATGCTTTGTCCTAGCATGGAAAACTGGATTATCTGCCAATCGTATTGCAGACTGATTATCGCAATGTAAAGCTACTGAATAGTCTGTGGACTGATGTAGATCTCTCATTAACTAAAAAAGCCACGTGCTTTCCTGAGCTGCCATTGCTGCTAATCTGTACTCCGCCTCTGTAGTTGACAGTGACACCGTTGGTTGTCTTTTGCTGCACCAAGATATAGCCGCTGAGCCGAGACTAAACATGTATCCAGTAGTAGACCTTCGAGTGTCATGATCTCCAGCATAGTCAGCATCACAATAGCCATAGACCGCACATTATTCTCCTTTCTTATACATGAGACCATAGTTAATTGTACCCTTGATGTACCTTAGGATCCTTCAGATTGCTTCTAAGTGAGTCTTCTTTGGCTTCTGCATGTATCGGCTCATCACACCAACTGCAAATGAAATATCTGGTATTGTCATAGTTAGATAGATTAAGCTTCCAACTAGTTGTCGATACATAGTTGGATCTTCCAAATCTTTTCCTTCATGTGCACACAGCCTCAGATTTGTCTCCATTGGTGTTGAGATTGATTTGCAATTGAACATCCCGTATTTGAGCAGCATGTCCTTCGCGTATTTTTCTTGGCACAAGAATAATCCATCTTTCCTTCGGTCGACCTCCAATCCGAGGAAATGCTTGAGCTCTCCAAGCTCCTTCATTTGAAACCTAACTGAGAGATTTGTCCTCGTTCTTTGGATTTCCGCATCATCATCTCCAGTTATGATTAAGTCATCCACATAGACCAACACGATTGATAGTCTACTACCAGTCTGTTTGACAAATAAACTGGAATCTGCATGGGCAAGAGAGTATCTACTTTGAATTAAAAACTCACCAATCTTGCCATACCAAGCTCTCGGAGCTTGCTTCAATCCGTAGAGAGCTTTCTTTAGTTTGAAAACGTATCTTTCTTTTTCCTTGCTCTCAAAACCGATAGGTTGCTCCATGTAAATCTCTCGATCCACCTCACCGTGTAAAAATGCGTTCTTCACGTCCATCTGCCAAAGCTTCCAACTTTTGCTGGCTGCTAGAGCTAGCAAAACTCGAACTGTTGTTATCTTGGCAACTGGACTGAATGTCTCATCATAATCCAGTCCATACTGTTGAGAGAATCCTCGAGCAACCAATCTTGCTTTGTATCTTTCAATCGTGCCATCCGGTCGAGTCTTGACTTTGTAAACCCATTTGCAGGAGATAGGTTTGACATCTTTGGGCTTTGGCACCAACTCCCAAGTTTGATTCTGATGAAGAGCTTGAATTTCTTCCTCCATTGCTTGTCTCCATTCAGCAAATTCGTATGCTTCCTCGAAGGTAGATGGCTCCTTCACATCCTCTATAATGGCAGCATTTGCATACTTAGGATTCAGTTTTCTGAGTCTTGTTGATCTTCGAAGTTGTTCAGTTGGTTCTTCTTTGATATTCTCCATCTGGCTTAGACGCTCCTCTTCTGATATTATCTGATGAACACCGGTTTTCCATGGAGAGCTTGATTCTGTCTTCTCTGAATGATGTATTCCTTCTTCTTAACCTGGCTCCCCCAGCTTCTTCTGCAACTGATCCTCTAAATCATTAGAGTCTGGGAGCACAACTTCTTGTGGAGTCCACCAAGACGAGGCTTCGTCAAACACAACATTTCTTGATGTGTAGCACCGTCCGGTTGTGGGATCACAACATCTCCATCCTTTTCTTTTACTATCATACCCCACAAATATACATCTTACAGTCTTTTTATCGAACTTGTTGCGTAAGTGATCAGGCACAAAGACATAACATACACAACCGAAGACTCTGAAATGGCTTACAGTTGGGTTGGTATTCCACAACTTCTGAAAAGGTGATATGAACCCCAGCTTCGATTGTGGTAGCCTATTGATCACGTGTGCCGCAGTCTTCATACACTCCGCCCAAAAAAGTCCAGGTACGTTCTTGGCATGAAGCATGCTTCTGCAAATTTCGGCGAGGTGACGATTCTTTCTTTCGGCTACGCCATTCTGCTACGGAGTATTTGGGCACGTTAGTTGTCGTCGAATCTTGTGCTGCTTCAGGTAGTCGTAAAACTCCTTTGATGTGTACTCGCCCCCGTTGTCTGTGCGTAGGTAACGAATCTTCTTGCTGAGTTCTCCTTCGACTTCTTCTCGGAATTGTTTGAATTTGAAGAGTGCTTCAGATTTTTCCTTCATAAAACCAACCCAGACATATCTCGAGTAATCGTCGATGAAAGTGATCATATACCGTATCCCACCGATTGATTCTTGTTTTACTCGACCAAATACATCTGAGTGTACAAGCTCTAAAGGTTCCTTGGCTCTGAACTGTGACTTGATAAACACGTAAAATATGCATTATCTTAGTGTGTTTCAAGCATAATTTACGAGTGTTTAATGCATATTTCGTGTTTAGATCGAGGATACTGCTGTGGTTTGTGTTCTTATATGTAGGTATTGGCTCAAGATTGAAAGATTTGATGATCGTTGGAAGTTATACAAGAGTTTGAAGCAACAACAAGATTTCGAAGGCATGGTTCGTGAAGAAAATGGATGCACGAGTATGAAGAACTGGAATTTCGACCATGATGCAGTTTGAATCAAGAAAAACTCAAAAGATGAAAGTTGTAGATCTCTTCAACAGGATTCCAATTCAACTTGAATCACCTCATTCCGAGGTCGGACGCAAAAGTTATAGCTAAAATACCAAAAACTGAAGAAACAAGCACAAAATCAGCAAAACAGCCCCTACCACACCCTGGTGTGGTGCAGACCACACCGGTGGCGCGGGAATTAGTTATTTTCCAGATTTTTGGAGACATATAAATAGATATTTTGAATTAGGGTTTTAGATATCTTTTGTTATGTTCTTTTAGCCATCAACTAGCAACTATTCTAGGGTTCAAGTATTGAAGGAAGACATTAATCTCTTGTAGAAGATTGGATTGCAAGTTCTTATTTTGAAGATTTCAATTGAAAGACGGGTTAATTCTTTCCTCTCTTTGATTTATTTCTTCTTATGATTGATTTGCATAATTATTTGATGTCTTCTCTTATTCCAATCATGTGTGAGTAGATTTCTTGTCTAGGATTGGGAAAGAACCCAACTTTTTGGTGATTGATGATGAATTGATATAGGTTCTTGGTGAAAGTTTAAATCTTTGAACTTGATTTCTAGTGTTTTAATTTTGTTGATTCGCTTGATCACCGTATTAGCAATCATAGGTAATTAATTGAAGGACTGAAAGGTGAAGATTAATACCGGATCTCTAGAAATTAAGCAGGGAGCTCGAACCACGAAAGTAGGCTAGATTCCTTGGGGATTTGATTTGGATTAGCATAAAGCTTAATGGGTTTAATTTAATCTTGATTCCACGAAAGTAGGTTAATTGAGATTGATTAGGCACGATCTTTAGACCTTGAAAGAGGCTTTAGATTAATTTAGGCTAATTCACCCTTTCTAGATTAAACCAACACCAAGAATTGAAATAATTCATCATTGAACACCTAAGTTGTGGTGATAACCCAATCCTAGTCCTTCATTATATTGAATTCCATCCGATTAGTTGTTTATTTTATTTCTTTTATTAAATCTCTTCTAATTTACTCATTGATTTAGCTAGTCGAATAACGTGAGATTTGGTAATTAACCCTAGTCCTTGTGGGATCGACCTTGATAGCTACAACGAATCCGTGCGCTTGCGGATTTTGCCCTATCAAGTTTTTGGCGCCGTTGATCCTGTACAAATTCCTTCTCCTTCTCCTTCTGATGAATCTATTCAACAATCACTCCCCTCAGATGACCAAGAACCTGAACCCGAACCTGAGCCTGCTTTTGATAGATTTAGACCGGTTGCTCCCTTTCCAGATAGACTCAGGTCTAGGAAACACTCTCCTCAGGAGGAGAAAATCCTAGAGACATTCAAGCAGGTTAAGGTCAACATTCCTCTCTTAGATGTAATTGAACAAATTCCATCTTATGCTAAATTTTTAAAAGAATTGTGCACTAAGAAGAGGAGAATAAATGTTCCAAAGAAAGTCTTTTTAGCCGCCAATATCAGTGAAATGCTGTCAAATCCCATACCTTTGAAACGTAAAGATCCAGGTTCCCCCATCATTTCATGTATCATTGGTAATACTCATATTGATAAGGCGCTTTTAGACTTAGGGGCCAATGTCAATTTGCTTCCATATTCAGTCTACCAGCAATTGGGTCTAGGTGTACTGAACCCAACTAAATACACCTTACAGTTGGCTGATAGATCTGTTAAGGTCCCTATGGGTGAGTTAGAGGATGTTCTGATTAAGGTTGGAGATTTTATTTTTCCAGTAGATTTTGTAGTCTTGGAAACACAGCCTGTTTCCAATCCCAAAGGACAGACACCTGTCATCTTAGGACGACCGTTCTTAGCCACTTCTAATGCTCTCATCAACTGTAGAACTGGTCAAATGAAGCTGTCCTTTGGGAATTTGACTGCTGATCTCAACATTTTTAATCCAGGGGACCAACCAAATAATCAGCCTCTAGAAATAAACTACATTCAGGAACGATCAGAAGAAGAAGAAGAAGAGTCTGATTTGAGTTTTGAGGAAATTTTTGATGAAGAGTTAGAGTTATTAGAAGAAGAAGATCAGGTCCTTGAGAATAATAAAACTGTGTTAAACATTTGCTGCTTTGAATTAAATTTTGAAGAACTCTTTCTTGATGAACTTAGATTCTTGGAGAATAATCAACAACCAAATTTTCAAAACTTCACAGAAGAATTGGTTGTTAGAAAACAAAACTTCACAGTACAAGAGTCTAAGTTCATTAAGAAATGCAAAATGCAGGACACCGATAATACCTACCTTACTTTGTTGCAAGAATTACTGAACACCCCGAAATGCTTGGAAATTCACATTATTGATTATATCATTCTGAATTTGTTTAAAATCCGGGGAAGAATTTTCAACAGTAAGGTAGGATTCAATGTAGAACAGGAACTCGTCATGTTGAATATTTCATTCTACATTGTTTATTTTGTTTATTTCAGAATAATAAAAAGAATTTATTCTTCTCTCATTTGAGAGTTTCTTGTTCAGTTGTTAAAAAAAGAAAAAAAAAAGAAAAAAAAGAAAAAAAAAGACAAAAAAAGAAAAAAAAGAATAAATGTTTGATTTCCTCCTCCTCAAACCAAAGGTAATTGCAGATTTTTATCAGCCGACCAAATGTAAGTGCTTCACTTCTTATCTGCTTTACTTTATGCATCATAGAGTTTGCATTGAGGACAATGCAAAATTTAGGTGTGGTGGTAGGAATTAGTTATTTTTTCTC